GGGCTGTTCAAATTATCCTATGGATCTTTAGCGACGACTTTGGTAGCCGCTTCTAAAGGGTAATTTTGTGATGGCTAGCGGCGAAAAAAAATCGCGGCTAAATGATGTTTGCATAATATCCACCTTAATTTTGTCACGAAATGTCCATAAAACGCTGCAAGTCACCGCAAAATACCTGAAACCGTGGTTTAAAATTAGATTACCTAGTTTTTGCTGATTGAACTGTTTTTCCATCTGTAAATCTGATTCTGACTTGGGTCCGAAGTCCACAGTCCAATCAAGAAAGTTGGTTTATCGCGGAATACTGCTACATGTTGTATTAATTTGAGAAACGAATAATACAGGTTACCAAAAGTTCGTCTTTAGACATTTGCAATTCAGATCCAACTCATTCTATAGACATTTGCAAAATCATCTTGAATTGACAAGTGACAAATTCCCAACTGATATAACATGTAAATACTGTGTGCAATACATATTGAGTTCAAAGAATCAATAAACCAATAAGACCAACAAAGAACAGGATATACTACATGACCAACAAAGAACAGTATATATTTATGCACACACAAAAAATATTTACAAGAGAATGAACAAATTAATAGTGGTTTAGATTCCCTAAACTACATGATCATTAGACAATAGCGACATTAAGTCAGTCAACTATCGCCCATCATACGGCATTACCATTTGGATTTGCATGCTTTCGTACCCACTGGTTGTACCAATAGTTGCACCTCTAGAACCAAAATCACCTCTAACATCCACAAAATAAGCGTCTGATTTCATAGCTGAACCAAGTAAGTACTCAGTGTCTTCTGGACTTGAAACTTCAGATTTTCCCCATGGTTGCTTTGGTGTAACTCTCATTCCCTCTAGCTCCATTGCCACTTCTTTCATGGTAGGCCTGTCCTGCCCCTTTAACCTTACGCATCTTTTTGCTACTTCTGCCACCTTTTTTAGTGTCTCAACGTTTCTCTCGTTGACTATGTCATCATCAAGAACCTCATTCAAGCGATCTTCCTCCATGAAACGAACAAAGAAGTTGGCTAGGTTTCTGTCTTCCTCGGGCCTGGCGAAAGAAAGTGCCACTTTGCTTGTCAATAGCTCCATAAGGACAACTCCGAAGCTATAGACGTCACTCTTTTCCGTCAGTTGATTTGTAAGGAAGTATTCGGGGTCTAAGTATCCAAATGTTCCTTGCACTAACGTTGTTAGTTGAGTTTGATCTAGAGGGATCAATCTTGAAGCTCCAAAGTCGGACACTTTTGCCGTGTAATGTTCATCTAATAGTATGTTTGTTGCTTTCACATCTCGGTGGATAATTTGCATGAGAGCAGAGGAGTGTAAGTATGCTAGTGCTCCTGCTGTTTCTGTCGCTATATTCAATCGCAGCTCCCACGAAAGTGATGATCTTTTGCCATTTTTTTTATGGATGTGCTCTGAAAGAGTGCCCTCAACGATGAACTCGTAAACCAGTAATGGCGCCGGTGTCTCTAAACAACAACCTAATAACCTCACCACATTTCTGTGCTTGATTTGAGAAAGAACTGACAACACAATCACCCCGCATCCGG